TGCATATGACAAAAACCGAAATAGTGCATACATGAAAACGAACTTCTTTCTGAGTAGGCGGCATTCGGCCGCGCTTAGGGATTATAACCCTTACTAAGTAGAATTCTCCTTTCTGTGTTGCCGGAAAAGGGGGCCGGAAGTATTTTTGCGCAGAACTTCTTTCTGCGTAGGCGGCCTTCGGCCGCGCTTAGGGATTATAACCCTTACTAAGTAGAACTCTCCTTTCTGTGTTGCCGGAAAAGAAGGGCGGAAGTATTTTTGCGCAGAACTTCTCTCTGCGTAGGCGGCCTTCGGCCGCGCTTAGGGATTATAACCCCTACTAAGTAGAATTCTACTTTCTGTGTTGCCGGAAAAGGAGACCGGAAGTATTTTCGCGCAGAACTTCTTTCTGCGTAGGCGGCCTTCGGCCGCGCTTAGGGATTATATCCCTTACTAAGTAGAATTCTCCTTTCTGTGTTGCCGCAAAAGGGGACCGGAAGTATTTTTGCGCAGAACTTCTTTCTGCGTAGGCGGCCTTCGGCCGCACTTAAGGATTATAACCCTTACTAAGTAGAATTCTCATTTCTGTGTTGCCGGAAAAGGGGGCCGGAAGTACTTTTGCGCAGAACTTCTTTCTGCGTAGGCGGCCTTCGGCCGCGCTTAGGGATTATAACCCTTACTAAGTAGAATTCTCCTTTCTGTATTGCCGGAAAAGAAGGGCGGACGTAGTTTTGCGCAGAACTTTTCTCTGCGTAGGCGGCTTTCAGCCGCGCTTAGGGATTAAAACCCTTACTAAGTAGAAGTAAATAATTCATATTAGAAAAAACGAAATTATCCATATGCACATTTTCGTTAGAAAACCGAAATAATGCATATAACAAAAACCGAAATAATGCATGCATGCACAATTTCAGTTCAAAACCGAAATAATCCATATGGCTAAAACCGAAATAAAGCATACATGCACAGTTTCGGATGAAAACCGAAATAATGCATATGTGAAAGACGAAGGTATGCATACATGCACAGTTTCGGTTGAAAACCGAAATAATGCATATAACAAAAACCGAAATAATGCATGCATGCACAGTTTCGGTTGAAAACCGAAATAATGCATATGAAAAACCCGAAGTAATGCATACATGCACAGTTTCGGTTGAAAACCGAAATAATGCATATGAGAA